TTGGGAGTTCTCTTCATAGAATATCATGTCACCTGCAAGTAGTTACATTTTTCCCTGTTCCTTTCCAAAGTGGATAACTTTTATTTCTTTGTCTTGTCTGATTGCTGGCCCTAGGACTTTCAATACTATTATGAATAGAAGTGGTGAGATCATAAAACTCCTAGAAAAGACAAAGGCAGAACATTCTCAGACATAAATCATGTTTTCTTAGATCTGACTCCCAAAGAAAAAGAAATAAAAGCAAAAATAAACAAATGGGACTCAATCAAGCTTAAAAACTTTTGCACAGCCATCATCAGCAAAATTAAAAGACAATATACAGAATGGGAGAAAATATTTACAAATGATGTGACTGACAAGGGCTTAATATCCAAAATATACAAACAGATCATACAGCTCAATATTTAAAAAAGCAACCTAATCAAAAATGAGCAGTAGACCTAAATAGATATTTCTCCAAAGAAGACATACAGATGGTCAGCAAATACAAGAAAAGATGCTCAACATCGCTAATTATTATAGAAATGCAAATCAAAACCACAATGGGGTACCACTTCACACTGGTCAGAATGGCTATCACCAAAAAAATCTGCAAATAATAAATACTGAAAAGGGTGCAGAGAAAAGGGAATCTTTGTAGTAGGAATGTATATTGGTGCAGCCACTATGCAAAACAATATGGAGTTTCCTTTAAAAACTAAAAATAGAGCTACCATACCATCCAGCGGGCTCAGCTGGTAAAGAATTCACCTGCAATGCAGGAGACCCTGGTTCGATTCCTGGGTGGGAAAGATCCGCTGGAGAAGGGATAGGCTACCCACTCCAGTAATCTGGCCTGGATAATTCCATGGACTGTATAGTCCATGGGGTCGCAAAGAGTCAGACATGACTGAGAGACTTTCACTTTCACCATCCAGCAATCCCACTCCTGGACATATATCCAGAAGATATAAAAACCCTAATTCAAAAAGATACATGCAGCCTAACATTTATAGCAGCACTATTTACAATAGGCAAGACATGAAAATAATCTGAGTTAATTGCCTTAAGAATTTGTGAGATATATGTATGTGTATATATATATATATATATATATATATATATATATATATATATACAGGTTTCCCTGGTAGTTCAGCTGGTGAAGAATCCACCTGAAATGCAGGAGACCCCAGTTCATTTCCTGGGTCAGGAAGATCCCCTGGAGGAGGGATAGGCCACTCACTCCAGTATTCTTGGGCTTCCCTGCTGGCTCAGACGGTAAAGAATCCGCCCGCAATGGGAAAGACCTGGGTTCAACCCCTGGGTTGGGAAGATGCCCTGGAGGAAGGCATCATAACCCACTCTAGTATTCTCGCCTGGGAAATACCCGTGGACAGAGGAGCCTGGAGGGCTACAGTCCATGGGGTTGAAAAGTCAGACACGAGCGACTAAGCACAGCACAGCAGCATACACACACATACACACACACACACATACACACGCATACACACACATATACACATACACACATATAGACACACACGCACACACATATATATACCATCTACAATGGAATATTGCTGCTGCTGCTGCTGCTAAGTCACTGCAGTAGTGTCCGACTCTGTGCGACCCCATAGATGGCAGCCCACCAGGCTCCACCGTCCATGGGATTTTCCAGGCAAGAGTACTGGAGTGGGGTGCCATTGCCTTCTCCACAATGGAATATTACTGAGCCATAAAAAGGATGAAATATTGCCATTTGCAGCATCATGAATGGACCTAGATAATATCATGGTGAAATAGAGATAGAGCAAGTCAGGTAGAGAAAGACAAATATTATATGATACTACTTATTTGTGGAACCTAAAAAATAATTCAAATGAATCTATATACAAAACAGAAAAAGACTTAGAAAACGACCTGTGGTTTTCAATGGGGAAGAGGGAAGAGGTAGATTAGGAGTGTGGAATTAAGAGATACAAACTACTATACATAAACTAGGTAAGCAAAAAGGATTTACTATCTAGCACAGAGAACTATATTCAATATTTTATAATAGACTATGATGGAAAATAATCTGAAAAAATATATAACTGAACCACATTACTATCTACCTTAAACTAACACAATATTGTAAATCAACTATACTTCAATGTTAAAAGATGTGACATGTATATTAGAGTATTGAAATAGTAATGAAGCATTATTCAATCAAGAGAATAAAGGAAATCCTGCCTTTTGTGACATGGATGACCCTGGAGGACACTAAGCTAAGTGAAGTAATCAAGATGGAGAAAGACAAATACTGCATGACCTCACTTATATGTGGAGCCTAAAAAAAGTCAAACTCATAGAAGCAGAGAGTATATGGTGATTATAAGGGGTGGGAGAAATTGGGAAATGTTGGTCAAAGTGTACGAAAGTTTCAGTTACATAGAATGAATGAGCCTAACTAATGCACAACAGGATGATTATAGTTAACAACACTGTATTGAACACTGGAGACAAGTTAAGAGAGTAGATTTTAAGAGCCATTATCACACAGCCAAAAAAACAGGTAACCAAGTCAAGAAAAGTGAAGTGAAGTAAAAGTCGCTCAGTCGTATCCAACTCTTTGCGATTCCATGGACTCATCCATGGAATTCTCCAGGCCAGAATACTGGAATGGGTAGCCTTTTCCTTCTCCAGGGGATCTTCCCAACCCAGGGATCAACTCCAGGTCTCCCGCATTGCAGGTGGATTCTTTTAGTTGATTAGCTTAACTGTAGTAATCATTTCACATATGTGTGTATCAAATCATTTTGTACATCTTAATTACATACAATTTTATTTATAAATATATATATATTTATAAATATATATATATAAGAGAAATATGTAAGTAAATAAAAATTAAAATTTTAAGTAAATATAAAGATCACCAGATGATTAGTAGGGATAGTCAAGTTTAAGAAGAATTGTAAAGCACTGTATAGACATTAGTCTTAATTTCCACCAAGATAATTAAAGTAGTGATGCTAATTTGCACATACACATGCACACACACTCTCCCTTGTGACTGCATTTCTTCCACTTCCACCATTCCGCACTCCCCACCACACACACCCACACCCACTCACACAATTTCCCATGAGCTCATAGTGCCACCTTCTGGAAAGAAAAGGGCAGGAAGCCTGCGCCATTCAGCAGAGAACAAGGCAGATGACCGAGGGGTGTACTGTGCAGGCGTCCCTAACAGGCCGGCAGAGCCCCTGAGAGAAGTGACCTTGGAAGATGTCATCCTGCCCTGTTCACTTTGGCAACCATTTAGCCCCATGGAGCTACTGAGCACTTGAACTTGTCCTAAGTGAGTGTGCTATAAATATAAAATGGATTCAAAGACTTAATACTAAAAAAAAAATCAGAAATAACATATTATTAGTTTTTATACTGATTACATGCTGAAGTAACAGTTTAGATACATTGAGTTAAGTAAAACATATTGTGATTCAATTTATTGGTTACTTTTTACTCATAATGTGGCTACTAGAAAACTGTACAGTACTCGATTCCCATTACATTTCTATTGCACAGCATTGATGTAAGCTATGTTGCTTCAGAATACATGTTCCTAGGAATCTTAACCTCTTCCACCTTCAATATATCTGTAAAAGAGCCTTTGATTCTGCACCCCAGTAATTCTCCTTCCAGCCCCAGCTCCACAAGCAGCATCCAACAATCCTTTGGAGTTTGCAGCACTTTCTGTTAGATACCAGGAGACCAGGAGCCCCAGAAGAGAGTATGGAACACAGTTAAGATACAAGAAATATCTGTGGAATGAATAATGAATAATAAATAAGGGAGCGAGGAAGGCACTCCACTGCACAGGGACACCTTGTCCTAGAAAACAGATCCCTTTTTAGAAACAACCAAACCAAATTCAGTGGAAAATTTGCTGAATTATATCACATACATGATTTACTATTTTCAAAACCAAGGCCTGATTACAAATCCATGCAACAAGTCCTCTGAAGGCTCTCCCAATGCAGCACTATTCAACCTTGAGATCAGGGATCTTATTTACCAATTTAAGTTACGAGGAGGACAAGTTGGGTGGCCTCGAAGTCCTGGAGCTTCAGTTCCCTTTCCCTGGAAGCCACACCTCATCTTACAACTAACTTTCATTAGCACTTTATGGCTTTCTAAGCACTTCCTCACCTGTTAGCCTGATCAATTTTCACAGCTGTAAGGAAGAAAGCCATGGAGTACTATTTATTTCCACTTTTTTTTATAAGTCTTAAGTCAGCTGATTATCTGATTTCCAAGGGTAATTAACTATAAGGCCAGGCCTGGCCTTTTCTCTCCACCATATGCTGTGTGCTTTATACATCACATCTCTTGGTTATTCCAAGGGCTCACCTGCTGTTTTATAGGTTTCAAGTGCTTCATGGATGCATATTCCTTAAGCACATGGTTTGACAGGTTGTGTAAATTTGTTCAAATTTCCCATCTTTCTGACCGCAGTCTTCTCATCTGTAAATTGGGAGGATAGAATGAAATGAACTGTAATGTTAAAATGGTATGTATCTCTGAAACTGGGGAGAAGCCTTGTTTCTCATTCCTCTTGCAGGATTTTGCACATGGAAAGTGCTTCAATGAGGTTGACTGGCTTTGCCTTGCAAAGGAAAGGAGCTGGAATGTTCCTCCTCAGCATAGAGCCCCGTTCTAAACACACACACACACACACCCCAGGCTGCTTTAGGAAGGAGAATTGTATGGAGAGAGGAAAGAAAAGGTGGAAATGTTTCAGTTGTCTGGGCCAAAGCCTCCCAGGGGACCAGTATCTCAGATTTCCTTCCATGAAATATTCAGTGAGTGCTTCCCGCAGCTCCTGTGAGTGGCAGAGGCTGGCCCTCCGGGGCACTTCTCTCTGTCTCCCGGGTCCAGGCCCAGGTCTCTCTATGCCTCTCCTGTCCTGGGGAGGCTCTGTTACTGTGTCTTTGCCTTGTGCTCCCCTCTTTCTCTGTGTGTGTCTCCAGCGGTCCTCCTTGGTGTCCGTCCTCCCCCATGTCCGCCTCCCTCCCTGCCACCATCGCCCTTGCCCAGAAGGTGAAGATTCTCCCCTTGCGGAGCATCCCAGGGACATGGACCTGCGTGCTTCTCTTTGGCTTCGCCCTCCAGAACGCCATGTGCCTGAGCGGGGAGAATCCTCCGGACTGTGGGAACCAGATGCCTTGTGCAGAAGAGCCGGACCCACCGGGGTGCCCAGAGGGTAGGGGCTGGGGCTGCATCTGCGCCAAAGGAATTGGGGCTGAAGTTGAGGAGGGTGATGAAAAACAGCCCTGAGGGAAGATGATGGCTTCAAGAGACCCCTGGGCTGGGCGGGGATCAGAAGCCCTTTAGTGGGGGAAGAGAGCTCCTGGGGGGAATCAGCAGGGGACCCCAGCCCTGGAAGCTTAGTCTCAGCCCTGACTCCTGTTTGCCCATCACTCCACAGGCGGACTCTGTCCTGATTCTCCACCTGCCCCCTGTCCCCCTGGAACGTTCTTTTCTGGAGCGAGTCCCCACAATGCCTCCTTCTGCCACCTCTGCCCTCGGGGATTCTTCAACCCCTGGCCTGGCCAGGATGCCTGCTTCCCCTGTGGCTCAGAGGCCACCCAGCCGGAGGAGGGCAAGGACACGTGTGCATGCCTGGGGTCTGGCCGAGTGTTCCAGGTATGTCCTCTGGCGGGGAACCCAGGAACAACCTGCATTGTCATGACCTGTTTTGTTCTTGAGTCACGTGCATCTCAGGAGTAACCTGATCAGGGTTGTTAGTTCAGGTTTCCAAGCGACAGGGTCGCCAGGTAAAAGAGAGGATATTCAGCACCACTTGAATTTCAAATAAATGATGGGTACGTCTTTAGTGTGTCTCAAACACTGAACGGCACACACTTATGTGAAATCCAAATTTGAGTGCTCTGCATTTTTATTTGCTAAATCTGACAACCCTACTTGGAGAAAAGGGCAGACATTTTGTGGCTCTCCTCCACAACCGCTCCTAAAATACACCCGGGCCCAAGTCCTTCCACTTTGAATTTGCCCTATAAGCCAACAAATGCGCATGTGAATGCTTCCTTTCCTGAGCTTTCCATGTCTTATTAACTGAAATGGTAGCATCACCTGGACCCTAAGAAGCATGTGTCCAGTAAACTCCCCTCTAACCCGACCCCCCTCCACCCTGGTGATCCCTTACTTCCCCTCCCCCTGCCCCTATTCTCTGGTCTGTCTCGGGCAGGGTCACAGCCAGAGGGTCCTGCGGGGTCCCTTGGTTTCACAGCAACCAAGCTCCACCAGCCAACCTGAAATTGCATCCCTTCCCACCCAACCCCCAGCCCAGCGACGGGCAGTGCCCCTGCCTCCCGGGCTACCACGATGTTGGAGAGCCAAGAGGCTGTGTCCAGGGGGGGTACAAGACCTGCAAGCCTGGGGCCGCCCGGAACCAGGAGGGGCTCTGTCTGACCAAGGATCAGTGGAACGACCACTGTGCCCATGAGGTAGGAGGCACCCATACAGTGCACCTTCCCCACTCCTGGACCTCTGCCCACCTGTCCACCTGCCCAAGCTCCTAGCCACTGGAGGCTTATTCCTCTAGTCCCCCTCTGGGAAGCCAGAGACCTGTGCTCTGCACTCTGAAGCTGGAGAGAATTGGGGGCAACATCCTCCCAGGGACATGTCGCCAAGAAGCTTGAGTCTTCCTGCAGGTTTGTGCCGCTCCAGAGGATGCACGTGGCTATGACCCAGGCCTGGGGCTCTGTCTGTGCTGGGGACCTCACTCAAGTGAGATGTGCAGTCCCCTGTGCCCCAAGAGACAGAGACAGGTCCTGCAGCTCAGCTGCCCCGAGGGCAACCCACAGATTTCCATCACTGAAGACACGGGAAGCCAGGTACAACGCCCCAACTCTCACTGGCTGAGGACCGCAGACCCAGCCCTGCAGGCCCTGCCTCTTTCGTAAGACGGGGTGGGTGACATGTTTGTGCACTGGGTCTGGGGCCCTGCCCACTGACCCACATCCCTGACCTAGCCTCTGGTGCCAGAAAGTAAAGAAAGTGAAGTCGCTCAGTCGTGTCCGACTCATAGTGACCCCGTGGACTAACTGCAGCCTACCAGGCTCCTCTGTCCATGGGACTTTCCAGGCAAGAGTACTGGAGTGGGTTGCTATTTCCTTCTCCAGGGGATCTTCCCGACCCAGAGACCGAACCTGGGTCTCCCGCATTTTAGACAGATGCTTTACCATCGGAGCCACCAGGGAAGTAAGCCCCAACTGTTGATTTAATTACATCCTAGAAGACGTCTTGGAAAAGTCATTGGGAAAGTGTTATGGAAATCGTCCCACATGGAAGCGAGGGACCGTATTCAGAGTCATGACTCGAGGTTACCCCTGCCACCCCCAGGGCTCGGAGACTTATTTTCACCACGGCCACCCCTCCAACCCCCTCAGGACACTCAGACAGGGCTTGAGGAAGGACCTGTGCTCTCCCTGCCTCCCTGCCAGGCGAGGGGGTTACTCGTGGGTCTTAAGGGAAGAGCTGACACCACACCTCCCTGTTCCCAGGTGTTTTTCCTTCCAGACGGGCCTTCCTCACCCCGTGCTGTGGGCCACCCCTGCCACTTGGACCAAAGGCAGAATCCTGTCCCTCTGTACGTGGTCAGGGTGGACGGTAAGAGAGCAGGATAGAAGGAGGCCCCATGGAGGCCTTCGTGGGCAAGTCTCGCCCTTTCTACAGCACGAGCGTGGCCCTTGCGTGGCCCTTGCATGCGGCAGCTGGGGGGTGGTAGGCAACTCCTACCCCAGACATGCCTCCCCAAGAAGTGCATGTGGATCCTGACATGCCTCCCCTGGTTTTATAGAAAGTCAACTCCTGCCTCATGCGAGTCAAGGATGGACAGCTTCTGCTGTATCCATGCACCAGGGCTAGCTCTCTCCCCAGCCCTGCAGGTTCAGGAAGATGCCCATCTTGTTCCAGGGATCGGCTTCCTGGGCCTGACCAGACCTGGTGTGGAACTACTGCACTCTCTCAGCCTGCCCCTCGGGGACCTGGGGCTCCCGGGCCAGGAGGCAGGTGAGCATCACGGCTGATGCCTGTTGCCTCTCCTCCCCCTCCTTCCTCCCTCCCTCCTCCACCCACCCCCAGGCCCCTGAAAGATGACTGCCCTTCCTCACATTCTAAATCTTGCCCAGGAAAGGGAAGGAATGCACACCTGAGCTCTCCTTCATCCCTAAGCCTCAACTCCTCGCACCCTGGGAATCTGTCATCCCCAGAGGCGGGCATCCGAAACCCCACAGTCTGCCTCCAAACCATGGACACACTGGCCTTCCTGGTGACCCGTGAGCATTACCCTGAGTACGACCTGTGAGTGTCAGAGGGCCCGGCTCCACTCCCACCGGAAATGCTCCTTGTGCCTCCAGCCAGGAGACAACATGCCCCCTCCTTCCTCCACCCCAGGAGCCACTTCTACAACACGCCGGGGCAATTTGACTGGGGGCGCTTTCGGGCCCTGGCTGAGGAGTCCCAGCTCCAAGATCAAAGCCCCCACCTCTTTCTGCAGCAGTTCCAGGAGCCTGGGGTCTATGTCTTTCGTCTGAACAGCAACTGGCATCGGAAGATGGTTTGTCTGTGATGGTTTGCCTTGTTTAAGACATTATCCCGACATTTCCCCTCTCTCTCTTTCAAAAATACTGCCTCATAACAACCAGCGGCAACCCACTCCAGTATTCTTGCCTGGAGAAGCCCATGGACAGAGGAGCTTGGTGGGCTTCTAGTCCATGGGGTTGCAAGAGTCAGACACAACTCAGCAACTAAACTGCTACTGCTAACCACCCCTAGACAGAACTCCAGGGAAGGAGTGGCCCCAAATGCCCCTACAACATCTCATGGTCTCACGGCCCTAAATGATAATTCCGGGGATGCCAAGATTCATCCCATGGCAACCCAATCTGTGTGTGTAAGGAGGGGACGATTGTGAGGATGCTGAAAATACAGAGTGTCTCGAAGGACATCAGGATGTTTAGCCAGCTCTCACAGCCATCTACTTCATATCCCAGGCCAATCTATGCAGGGTTGTATCTACATCACCTCTGCAAGATGCCACCACTGAGCCAGAACTGGTTACACACAGGGTTTAGTATCTCGACCTGTCAGTTCAGCTTCCAAGAGGTTGTGCTAACGCAGCCCCGGAACATGCAGACAGCTCCCCCAAACAGCTATCTGATACGAAATCATTTCCCAGGGAAAAGGCAAGTATGCACAAAGATCTGGGCTATTTGGTTAATGTTGACAGGCTTGGGTTCCCACTCTGTCCCCTGGCCAGGCTCCGGCAGACAGTGGGACAAAGGCTAAACAAGATTTCTCTCCACCCAGTACATCCGCACCCTCCCACCAGGTGGCCAGTGCTTTGGGGAAGGGCCCTTTGTCCCCACAACTCCCAGGTACCTCATCCAAACCGGTATTGCCAAGATCCCCAGGCCACTGAAGAGGCCCAACTGGCCAGCAGTCCTGGGGGAGATTGTCCTGCTCCTGGGACTCTGCCTGCTTCTGTTGGTGAGTAAACCTGGACAGATGATCTTAACTGCTGTGCGGGAACCTCTCTCCAAAGCTGTGGAAGTGGGTCTTCCACTTCCCATCTGCAGTAGGCATTATCCTAGTTGCTAAGATACCAAAGTGATAAAGGTCCAGCCTGTAAAGCCTCAAAGTTCAATAAGGAGAACATAGACAAGGAGAAAAATTAATGCTAGCGAGTGTTGTAAAGCTCCGGTGAGAGTGTGCCAATGGGCCCTGGCCGCACAAAGGAGGGGCATGACTGTTCCCCCTGGGTGGTAAAGACAGACTTTCCTAAGGAGGTGATCCCTGAAAGAGGCTGGAAACATGTTTGGTTCCTACACGGACAAAGGGGTTGGTGAGTTGGGGGTAGGAGAGTAATACTCCTGGGAGGCAAGGTGGAGGTGAGGAAGGCAGCGTTATGAGTCAGGCAAAGTGGCATGAACATCGTTCACCGGCTCAGGGAACCACACTTGGTCCCTGGGCCTGCAGGGATGAGGCTGAAGCCGGGAGGGAGGCCAGACTGTGGATGATCTCGTGCGCTTTACCCTCTAGGCAGTGGGGATCTATTAAGACTTTTGAGCAAGGGAGAAAACCTGGTAAGACTTTTACGCTTACTCTAGCAATACGGTGGAAGAGAGATGGATTATGGAGAGAGACGGATTATAGAGAGAGGGGGCCTGTTAGACTGGTCCAACAAGAGAAGATGGGGTGCTCCCTAAGCACACTGAGCATCCTCCTCCTCTAAGAGTCCGAGGAAAGGACGCTTCTCCCTTCCCTTCACATCACCCGCGATGCATCCTGAAGATTCAGTGTCACGGCCTGAGCTGGGCCCGGAAGGCTGCTCCCCAGCCCACCTTCAGGAAGCATCAGCAGGGCTACAACCTGGATGCCTACACTTCCCCAAGAACCAGGATAACATCAGTGAGGAGAGGCCAACCACACCAAGATTCTGATGACCCCAGGGTTGAGGGAGGTCACGGTGAGTGAAAGGCTTGGGCTGGGAGCCCAGAGATGCCCCCACACTCAACTGGCCAGCTCCTGCTTCCTTTGTTCATCGTTCCATTCCCCTCCACGCATTCATTCATTCAGTGAATAAGTCAGTGTTTACTGGGTAGCCAGTGTATGCCAGACACTGCCAGGTTCTAGAGGTGCACAGTGTAGAAGGGCACAGAGGCATCTAAGCACAACTGGCCAAAAGAAATGTACAATAATCACATATAACACCTAGCTGGGAAATGACCAGTCCCTCTACAGACGCTGTTATGAGTCACGCGGAGGTGTTGCACCTTCTACTCTGGCTACTCCAAGCATGGGCCTCAGAGAGAAGCAGTTTGCCCTTCTCAATTTCAGGGTGATTATGAATTATGTGGGGAACTCCTGCTGCCATAGGTCTGGGACGGGGGCCTGTAATTCTACATTGTTAGCAAGCTCTTCAGCAAAGCGCTCTCCAAATACCACACTTTTAGTGGTAAGACTGTGAGGATCTGAGGAGGCAGGTACACTGGGGCTCATAATTGCATTTCAGGGGGAATAATCCTGCTCCCTGTCCCCTCCCACCCCCTGCCCATAGGTGGGAGCTGGGAGGCCAAAGAGCAGGTGGATCTGGAGGGGTTTGACACAGAAACCTTCTTCAAGATCCTGCTCAGGCAGTGTCTGTCAGTGACGACCAAACTCAGCCAGACCAAGGCGGAGGTGAGTGGGGAAGCCTGCAAATTTGTCTCTGGGAGAGTTGGTGACGGGACAGAGAACCTAAAGAAATCCTTAGTGTATCCAGGGGGAGAATTATTCAGGGAGGGGAAACAGAAGATTTCAGACTCACTTTAGGGCTGAGCCCTAGGCCCTCACATCACCGGTAGGAATCTAACCAGGCCACCTCTTGAGTGTCTTAAGAGTCCCACTAGTGATCCAGGTAGCCCACCCGGGTGAGCAAATGCAGACCAGTAGGGGACAGGCATCGGGAGCAAAATGAGCACAGTAGAGTCCAAGTCCCCAAGCCGGACCAAGGGTTCCCTAGGGAGGAGGTGCGAATTGTGTCTTGCCCGGGGCGGGTCTTCACCAGACCCTCCCAGTGGAAGGGCACTTTGTCCGCTGCAGCCCCTCCACAACCCGGCAGCAGGGGGCACTGCGGCCCCAGCCGTGACGGCGGCTTGGCACCTCGGAACAAACTCTGCGCTCCCTCGCACAGCTCAGACTCCTCTGCCTCAAACTGGGGAGCGAAGCGCGGCGTCTCCAGCAGCTGTGGGGTCCTGAGCGTCGCGCCGCAGCCTCCGAGGGCCAGCTTCTGGGGAGCCCCCAGAGAGAGCGACAACAGGTCGGACCGTGTTCACGCTTCCCACCTCTTCCCGGTGCCCACATGCAACTCCCCCTCCTCACTGAGGCCAGAAGCCCCGCAGCACCTGTTCCCCATCTCCAGGGCCCCCCGAGGTTTTAGTCCCTCCCGCTGCGCCCCCGGAGCCTCTGCTGCACGCCCACTCGCAGTGCTCCGCAGGGCCCAGGGGGCGCGCTCAGGGGGACCCCCCAGGCCGCGGTCCCCGGAGGCTGTGGCGCTTGCAGCCTTAAGCAGGCAGGGCGGTCTCTGACCCCAGGATGCAGAGGCAGCCGCCAGGGCCGCGGAGGAGGAGGCCAGGCGGAGGGGGCGCCTGGCAGGCGAGTACGCAGCATGCCTCCGTCACCAACTGGTACTCCTTCGCCAAGACCTCCGTGCGAGGCAGGAGCAGTGGGGCTCCTTCTGCTCGGCGCTGATGGCCGCTCGGCGGCTGCTGAAGGCACGTTCAGGCTCCATGCCCGCGAAGTCCTCCCAGGCTGGGCAGAACCCAGAAGGGTATGTACCTGGTAACTCCGAGTCAGGCTGCGTGGGATCAGGGCTAGGGAGGGGCCGCGTGGCCTCGCGGAGTCCCAGGGCTGGCCACGCCAAAGTGTCCTTCTTCCATCCCTAGTTGTCCCTCCCTCTGATTTGGTCTTCCCCTCCCCACCCCCGCAGGGAAGTGCCCCAGCTGGCCGCTCTTCTGGGCCGCCTGTCCCAGGTCGTGCTGCAGGAGGGCCACCGCTTGAAAGCCTGGGGCGTCCTGGGCACAGGTACTGGGGCGGAGCTGCTGCGGCCAGGTGAGCCCTGCTCGGACTCAAGACCACCCCCTTCCCCCAAGAAACCTGGCCTTGTATCGGGTGGGAGGAAGACAAGAGGAAGGCTAAACCAAGAGGAAATCCCCAAGATTGGGAGGGGCTTCCTGTGCAGCGGCCTGGGCAAACGGCTGTGTTACCGAAGAGGGAACCTCCGCGAGGGGAACAGCAGAGGAGGAGACCAACAAAACCGCCACAAACATAGCTTTACAGACAAGGTAGCACTTCCTGAGAACAAAAGCCTGACTGCCGAATGCAAACGCTCTGGTTTGGAAAATGCTGGACTTGCCAGGAAAGAAGGAGGTGGGGGGGAGGAGTAGGATCCTACAATTTGATGATGTCAGGCTCACATCCCAAATGTGGAGCCCTGACCTGGACTCTGCACAAAAAAAAAAAAAAAAAAAAAAATGTCCTTCCCAAGCACCTACTACACCCTCGTACCAGGGCTGGTTTGGGTAGGGGGTGTTACCAGCTCCTTCCAGTCCACCCAGCCAAGGGAGCCCCTGACCTGCCAGATGTGGCCTCAGACCCAGGGCTAAGCTGGTGTTTGCTTTCCTGCAGCCTCAGCAAGCCCTCCGGGAGGCGCCAAAAGCATCAGCGTGCATCCTGTCACCAAGTTAATGGTCCCTGGCCCAGACTGTGTGATGCTTCCAGCCAGTGGCCAGGCAGGGCCCATACCACCAGGCTACTTCATCCACCCTGACACGGGACGGGTGCTACCCGAGGCTGGAAATCTGGGTTATGATGTGCAGGAAGCGACCCTGGTGCCCACAACTGACCGCAGTTCTGGTGAGACTCCTACCACTCCACCCAGTGTGGGCTGTCCGGAATGAACCCCCCAGGGGCACAGAACGGGAAGCAGGGCTCTGGCCTTGGACAGTGCGGCTTGGAGACAAGCAGAGCAGTAAACACCTTCTCCCCCTCCCTCCCTTTAACATTCTTGCTACAGAGGTGCCATGCTCAAGAGAACAGTCAGATGAAACTCAGGCCAGAGGCTCTCTGCCCCTGCCCTGCTGGGCTTGGGAGGGATGCAGACAGGCCAGCACGTGTTAACGCCTCCCTGTCTCCCTGTCCAGGTGGCGTCCGAACCTCAGAAGCTGCCATCCTCCCCTACGTGCCCCACCCACCCTGTCTTGCCACAGGCTCCCTGCCAGCCATCCGCCTGCCTGTCCTGCAGCTGAGACGGACGTCACAGTCAGGGGCTCTCATGACGGACCCCATAACGGGCATCGAGGTGCCCGTGCTGGCTGTGACTCTGCACCCACAAACGAGGCAGTGGCTCACTCTTGGGGGGACGTACCGCAATCCGCTTACCCAGACTCTGGCCCCTTTGGAGCTGGGGGGCCCCATGGAGGATCCGGTCACAGGAGGCATCTCGCCGATCCTGGGAGTCGGGTTGGATGAAAACACAGGTCTGCTGGCAGCTCTCGTGCCTTCCTTCTGCCCCTCCTCCCTCTGGTCTGGCTTCCCAAGCCCTTCCCCTCAGCACCCCAGACCTTCCACATTCTGGTCCAGTCTGCAGACTCTACCCCAGGCCCACCGGTATTTCCACCCTTCATGCTCTGGCCACTTTTCCTCTCCTTCCCGGTTTCCCTCACCCTCATCTTCAGCACAGTACCCCCCTCCGCTCCACCCAGGGTGGGGGGCAGGGACGAGAACTGAGATGCTTCTGCAGTAAAAGCATATGGATGTTTTACTATCAAGAAAGACATTCCTTCTCCCCCCTACCCTCCCTCACCCCAGACCCTGCCCCACCCCCCAACCTCCACCTCCATCCTGTCACTCACTCTGTCCTGGCCCCCCGGTTCTCTCTTTTGCCTCATCCACCTGCATCCCTTCCTGCATCCCCCTCTCTCTGGTTCCTGCCTCCAGGTCAGGTGCTTGCACTGGGAGGACTGCGAGATGCCTCGGGGAACCTCCTGCTGCCTGGTGACAGCTTTGTGGAGCCACTGAGCAGGAAGCCAGTCCGGCTCCAGGGGGCTTCCCGACAGGAGGGCCGGACTGTGCCCCATACAGGAGGGCCCCAGGACCTGCTGGACGCCAACGTGCTGGCAGCCCAGAGACGAGTGATTGCAGTGCTCCGGAGCTTCCAGGAGATGCCAGGGCCGAGGGGACAGGGGCTCCTGGAGGCTGCCATCAAGGACATGAGACAGGCGCTGGCCCTGAGCCTGCACCACCTCCTGCAGCAGGCCTGGCGGCTACAGAGACAGCAAAAAGCAGCGGAGAACCTGGAGGCCAGCGGCGGCAGGATAGGTACGGCTCCCCAAGCCCTGACAGCCCAGACCCAGAATGACCTGGTGCTTCACTGCCCCTCAGCCCGTAAGCTCAGGGACAGGCCTGCAGCCCCACCGGCCAGACACACATGGGATCAAGGGAAGAGAGAAGGAATTCGGTGACTTCATGCCCTGAGCTCATGAATGCTTGGCTTTCAATCTGTCTGTTAACCTCTGGCCAATTCCACTGGGTCTTGCACTTGATGTTAGTAAAGTGGATATCCTCTGGTAATTTCATAGGACCCCCAAGAACCATAACACGTGATGACGCCCACTTTACATTGCAGAATCTGAAGTCAAGGGAGCTAAGAGACTCACCCACCAGGATCCCTTAGCTAGTTAACTGCACAGCCGGACCTGAAGCCTGAGTCTCAGAGTCCCCAATCTCCTTGTCAACAGCCTTCAACTTCCCGTGAATAAACTCAGGAAGGAGCCCACCCAACTCCTCCACGTCCCCTACTGCCCCAGCACAAGGAAAGGCAGGGAAAGGAAGTAGAAGTGGCGTCTTCCTGGAGCTTATCTCACACACTCCTTCTAGAAACTTCTGCCCAGGATGTGTCAGAAAAGAACCAGGCTTTGGGATCAGAACTGACTTGAGTTTGAAGACCTACCCCACCGTTTGTAACCTCTTTGACCTTGGGCAAGTTACTAAACCTCCCTCTGCCTCTGTTTACAGCATCTTAAAAATGAGGATTAAAAGAACACATCCTTTAGAGATTTAATTGTAGTACCAAGTAAAGTCCATTTTATATGGAGTTCTGAGCTTAGATTCTGGCACATGTAGGTGTTTCAAGAAAGTCTGTCCCCTGTCTTCCACATTTTCAGCCTAGCCTAGAAATTGCCTTCAGTTTCCCCCAAAGACCTGCTGCCTTATTTTTAAGTACTCAGTCCTTCCTTTATGGATTCAAAATGCTAAGGTGGGCAAACAGAGGCAGTCTTATCAGGGATGGACAGAGACATGGCCCCTCAAACCTCGGTGTGGCCCTCCGCCCTCACCTCCTCCCCCTGTGTCCCCCACTTTGTGTTAGGGGCGATGCGCTATCTGGGGACAGCGCTGTGGGTCCCGGCCCTGTATGGGATGGAGATCCTAGACCCTGCGGGCTCAGGGCTCATGGTGCCCGTCCTGGGCATGGAGAGTGACGGGGATGCTGGCCATGCCACACCTGTGGCAGGTTCGATGGAAGATGCAGATGGAAAAGGTAGGAGGGAACCTGGGGGGTCCCTGAAAGCCCTGGGGGGATGTGGCTGAAGACCTCGTAAAGCTTGGGAGGGGTGCCTGTAGCCTGCGCACTCATGAGCCAAGGAATGGGATCATTCTGATGCTACCACCAGGGCTGCTGAGACCCAAAATAGAGGAGCTCAGAGATTCCAGAGCCCTGCTACCACAGATCACTTACCCCCACTGAGAAAATTCAAAGATGAGCACTTCAGAAACCCCACTCCCCCCTCACCCTCAGGGTCCCGTGGCTCCAGGAAACCCTCTAATCCCGCTCAGAGCTCCTCAAAGGATCAGCATGTTTCTTAGGGTTCTTTAGCTCCCTCACAGCCATATTTCCTTCTTCCCACGACTACCCCTGCCTTCTTTCCCCATCTCTGGTTCCAGAAACTAGTGGTGGTCTTGGCATCCCACAGGTCTGGTCCCAATTGCAATTGGGGCACAAGCCATAGACCCCTTGACTGGGGAACCTGGTCCCGTCATTGGCGCTCAAACGGACCCTTTCACCGGGGTTGTGGTGCCCATTGTCCAAGTGCTGGAGGCCTTACCCCGGGGAGTGAGAGACCCTGGTCTGGTATGTAGGAGGCATTTATTCTATTTCTTCATTCACTCAGCAAATACTCATCAAGAACCTCCTGTGTCCCAGGCACTGTGTTAGGTGCTGAGAAGCAGACAGCTAGACGGGGCGCTGGGCAGCTGTAGGTGCCAGCCATGGTCATGGTTTACAAGGGTGTGAAGACAGCACAGAGGAGGGGCATCTAAGTCACAGGGTGAGCATTCTAGGAAGGCTCCCCAAAGAGGCAGCCCTGCTGAAACCTGAAGAAGGACTCAGAGAAAGGCCTCAGGGACCAGCGAGGGCAAAGTGGCAGGTGTGAGACCATGAGTGTTCCAGGACAATGAGGAAGGCAGAGGGGCAAAGGCAGCAGGTGAGGCCAATGGGGAAGACAGGAAATGAAGCATAAGCAGCCTTGGGTGCTTGGCTGAAGCCAAGAAATGTGATTTATCATGAAAGCCATTGAAAGATTTGAAGTTGATATGATCAGAATCCAAGTGAAATGATCAGACATGCATGTTTTCAAGGCTCTTAAATTTGGAAATCTTGGGACAATACAAAAAGAAAACAAATTACTCAGAATCCTACTATTAATATATTTTTTAAAGTATCCAAATAAAGATGAAAGAGCTTCCTGCTCCCAGTTTCTCTCACTCCACCTGCCATCAACAACTCCCTCCCCACAGTTTGCTCCTCTCTCCAGACACTACACACCTCTCCTCCAGTCTCTCCCTCCAAATGCAGCTACTGTTAACAGGTTGGCACACCTCCTTCCAGACATTTTTATGCTTGATATGTGTGTATATGGGGCTTCCCAGGTGGCACTAGTAGTAAAGAACCCACCTACCAATGCAGGATACCTAAGAGATGTGGGTTCAGTCCCTGGGTAGGGAAAATCCCCTGGAAGAAGGCATGACAACCCACTCCAGTATTCTTGCCTGGAGACTCCCATGGACAGAGGAGCCTGGCGGGCTATAGTGCATAGGGTCACAAAGAGTCAGACACAACTGAAGTGACTTAGCACGCACTCACATGTGTATGTGTAGTCAGCATTCTAGAAAGTTCCCTCTAAGCAGTGCAGAGGACAGATGAGACCAGGGCCAGACTAGAGCAGGAGGTTCCTGCAGTAATTCAGCCTTTGGCAGGTTCTCCACTGAAATGAAAATGATTTAGGGTCCTCCCCTGCATTCTCAGCCTAGTTACACTTTCAGAGACAAAAATGGACAAGTCATAAAAGATTCTGGTTAGAAGTCAAGAAATTTAATGCTAGCCCGGACATCCAGGGTCACAGACGAGTGTAAAGGGGCAATACAAGCATCCAAGAACAATTTCCTGCTGCCTCCTGCCCATCCCTGGCTCCCCAGGAGACAGGTGGGCAGGGGCAGTGACCCGGGAGAGTTTAGGTGTTAGAAATAGGGGGGGAAGGCCTGAGAGCTTGCAGAAGGTGCCTGGTGATTATTTTTCCATCTCCCACGGAAGCAGCTGCCTCACCAAGCTTTGTCATAGATGCCCCGGGAAAGGGGAAGCCAAAGGCTTAAGAGGCTTTGGGGGGTCTGAAGCCAGACCCCAGGCTGGGAGCAGAGAAAGTGTCTGGGCCCTAAACAAGCTGAACGTTGTAGCTGGACACCCTGGAGAAGGAGCTGAGAGCGCGGGAGCAGTACTGGAGCTGCCAGGAGCAGGAAGAGGTTCGGCTGGCGGAAGAGCTGGGCGCCGCAAGCCCGGGACTGCTCTCCACACCCGGCGAAATCCCGGGGCTGCAGGTGAGCCCAGAGGCCCCTCCTCCCGGCCCCAGTCCCCACAGGTTTCTCCTGGAAGCAGGGAACCCTTTTCTCCCGCCAACCGCAGAAATGGAGTCCATCTCAGGGCAGAAAATGTTCCAGGATTCATTCCCCAGCTCCAAGCCCAGACTTCGGGGCTTTTGGTGGCTCAGATGGTAAAGAGCCTGCCCTTAGTGAGGGAGACCTGGGTTCGATCTCTAGGTAGGGAAGATCCCCTGGAGAAGGAAATGGCAACCCGCTCCAGTATCCTTGCCTGGGAAATCCCATGAATGGAGGATCCTGGCGGGCTACAGTCCATGGTGGGGGCAAAGAGTCGGACGCGACTTCACTTTCCCTTTTCTTTCCTAAGTGTCTCAGCAGGATGGGGGTAGGGGGGAGGAGCTGGCCCAGCCCCCAGCTCCTGCCTTCCCCTCCTGGACCCATCTTTCTGTGCCCCTCATCTCCTGCCCTCTCAGCTGAGGGCCGCTGAGGAGGCCTGCAGAGCCCTGGAGGCCCGCTGCCTGCAGGAGACCCAGAGGAGAGCCGGAGCCCTGAGCGGCCAGAGCAGCCAGAGAGAGCGGGACCTGCTCGCTCAAGGTGGGGCCCCGATCCTCGGAGCAAAACCTCCCGGGAGGGGTGCTGCCAACCCCAGGTCCCCAGCCTGGGTCCCTCCATCCCTCTCCACGTGCTTCGGAACCTCCCAGGTATCCAGCCAGTCCCCGGCTCTGACCCAGCAGGTCCCTTCCCTGGGCTCCAAAAAACCACCATGTCTTTCCTTCTCCTCCCTCCCTCCAGAGGCAGGCACTGCCACGTGGCTCTTCTCTCTGCCCCTTGCAGCAGACAGAGAGGAGTGGGCGCAGGAGGCGCAGGTGGTGCTGAGCCTGCAGCAAGTCCTGCAGAGTTTAGGGCAGGCCGAGGAAAAGCTCAGGCAAGCGGTAGGCCGGCTGCGGGGCCAGGAGGCGGAGATGCGGCTACAGTGCAGCAAGGGTCAGAGCCCACAGGTCTGGAGCCGCTCCAGGAAGGTGAGACTCGGAGGCTGATGAGGGGATCCCATGAGAGAGCACGTTCACCCGTGACATCAGACGTGGCTCTTCCGCAGGTGGGCTGGGAGGGGAGTAGGGAGAAAGAGAAAGACTCTCCCTTCTACTCATGGCACTTCACTTCCTGTGTCCTAGGTGGTCCAGCATCTCTCCAATGAGCTTCAGGAGGTGGTGAGGGAGAGGCAGAGCACCCTGGATAGGGCCCTTGGTCAGCTGCAGTACCAGCGGGAGCTGAGCCGCCTCCAACTCTTGCACATCCAGGTACTGACCTCTGGCTTTGGCCAAGGAGATGTGTGTGTCCAGCTTTTGTTGGGAGCTCCCCAACAGAGAGAAGCTCCAGAGAAACCACGCGGAGCCAAGCACAGGACTAGGTTCTGACTGTTTCATCCTAGATTGTTGCCTCGGGGACCCCTGTGTGTTTGGAGAATTACCCTGCAGACAGGTTTTATGGAACCATCACCACTTCTCCCAGGGACCAGGCTGCTGCCTGCCCCCTGTTGATTCCTTTCCTGAAGAGCCTCACTGGAGCACTAATGGGAGATCAAGGCCACGGCCTAGGACTGGAGGATGGGGGACCAGGAACAGGTGAGGTGGATCATGGGGCCAGCATTACCTTCTGCCGCCAGTCCTGATCATGTGTGATGAAGTGCTAATGCTACAGTTAGAGCTTCGAGCTCCGTAAGAGTGTGGCCGTGGCAGGTTCTTCAAGAACATGAAGAAACTCAATGTATTACTTATACCTTGCTGTGTAACAAACTGCCCCAAAGTTGTGTGGCTTGAAACAATGAACATTATCATCTCACAGTTTTTCTGTGGGTCAAGAAGCTTAGCTAGTGGCCTCTGGTTCAGGGTCTCATACAAGCTACATCAAGGGATCAGGCCAGGCTGCTGTCATCTCCAGGTTTGACTGCACAGTCTGAGTTCACTCTCATGGCTGTTGGCAGAACTCAAGTCCTCACTGACTTGTGTCCAGAGACATCAGTTCCTTGCCAAATGGACTTCATAAGGCATTCACAACATGGCAACTGGTTTCCTTCAGAGCAAGTGAGAGAGCCCCCGCCCCAAATGGAAAAAATAGCCTTTTTGCATCCTGATCTCATCGCTTTTGCCATATTCTATTCATTAGGAGCAAATCAGTAAATCCAACCCACACTCAGGGGAGGAGATAACCCAGGGGCATGGGCACACACAGGGGTGCATGGAGGCCGCTGCAGAGCCACCTGTCACACCAGATGCTCTTTTAGACTTTGGCCACAGCCCTCTGCCCTTAGTCACAACAGCCACTTTCTTCTCCTCTGTTCAGATGCAGATAAAGTTGACATCCCGTGGACCTCACCACTCTTCTCTGCCCTGAGGAAAGTAGACATCAGGTCCCAAGCTCTCAGGGATGAAGCTGAACTGCAAGGACAGGCGCATCACAAGCCAGGTGACCTCCTTCCCCTGGGGGCTCTGGTTTAGACTTACCATGACACAGTGAAGGTGTCCAGTGGTGTAACCCACCGGACCAGAAGTACCAGAATCCCAACTCACCATCATCCCTTTCTCCTCACCCCATCCTAAGATCCAAGGGGTTTTCCATATGAGGAATAATGAACAGAGATCAAAAGTCCCAAAGGGAATTCCTAAAGGCCCTCTATCTACCCACTAAGCACTGAATCTAAATCTTGAGATTCTATCCCAGTGATGTGTTACAAGCAGTTAATGGAAGAGTGTGAGATACAGGGAGACAGAGGAGACAGAGAGGAAGAAGACCTTGCCCCAGAAAGGGACTCCAGATTACTTTACTAAAACCACCCCCTTGAAATTGGAAAGGGAACATGGCTGGCTGCCTGAACTGGAGACTCGAATCTGTTTCAACTCACCTACTTCCCAGGTGGGAGAGGATTAACAGGAAATGAGTGCATGTCTTTCAGCTGACCATGATGCAGGCCACTAGTAAGCACAGTTCCAAAAACATCTTTGAATCTGACTTCACGTCAGCAAACCATTGCCTACAGGCCAACTCCAGCTTGCTACGTTTTCATGCAGTCCATAAGCTTAGAATGGTTTTATATTTTTAAATGATTAGAAAGTGAAAGTCAACGTTGCTCAGTCATGTCTGACTCTTTGTGACCCCATGGACTATACAGTCCATGGAATTCTCTAGACCAAAATACTGGAGTGGGTAGCCTTTCCCTTCTTCAGGGGATCTTCCCAACCCAGGGATCGAACCCAGGTCTCCTGCATTGCAGGCGGATTCTTTACCAGCTGAGCCACAAGGAAAGCCCAGGAATACTGGAGTGGGTAGCCTATCCCTTCTCCCAGGAATAGGGAAAATGTCAAAAGAATAACATTTCTGCAGAGTGCTTTACAATATATCCTGTGGTATTCTAAATCTTTTGTTCTGTTAGTTCATTAAATCTTTACAACAACCCAGCAAAGTATGTGGTGTTAGCCATTTCATAGATAAGGAAACGGAAGCTTCTGAATAGGTCAAGAAAACAGTCAAAAATCATATTGCTAATGAGTTCAGCTGGAATTCAAGCCCAGAGAGTCTCACCCCTGAGTCTGTGTTCTTAACCTCTCCCCCAAATGAAAAATTATCCAACATTCTAAAGGCAGTGCAGAAAGGAAGATGAAGGCAGCAATTTTGGTGAGTTCTCAGGAGGGCAGATCTTTGTGTCAGAGAAGCAAGGGGAGGTTTTATAAGGGAATAAAGCCACACTTCTACCGGGATGATCGGGAACACTAACTAAATGTGAACCCCAATCTTGCCTCTTGATTGTAAAAGCCTAAAATATTTACTGTTTGACCCTTTACAGAAAAAATGTGCTGTCCCCAGAACTTGACCATTCTCAATATTAATTCTGCCTCCCCTTGGGGTAAACTAAGAAGAATACAGTCAGAGTAGCCACCACTGCTTCAACCTTCATTGTCTTTATAATGAAGTCTATATTGACTTCATAATGTAGAAAGCAGTTTTGTACAGATTGTCTTGTTTACACCCAGTAACCCAAGTTCAGATTCTATGAGGCAGTGGAGTATTTTTTTGACAGTGGAATTTTTTTATAGATGAGATAACAGATATTCAAAGTGGTAAAGTGACTTTCCCAGTCTTACTGAACCTGAACCAGAAATCAGGTCCTCTGACTGCTAGTTCAGCATTCTTTCCTATACCATGCTAGTCAAGTCTTTTTTTTTTTTAGTGTCCTCTCAAGAATAAAAAGACAATAGAAAATGTTTAAAGACCCAAAGTGCAATAGAGACAATTTGTGGGGAAGTGAGACTGTTAATACAACTAACACTTACTGAGTGCTTACTGGGTGCCAGACACTGTTCTGAGTACATCACATTTTAATGCTCCAAACAACCCTATGAAATAGAAGAAAACGTGTTGCCATCTTTTCTGGACCCTCATTCTGTTGTTCTGGTGCCTTTGTTCCTAATGACTGGGACTCAGTTTCTTTTCCATGAAGACTGGCAGAAGGCTTGAGCCACAATGTATATATAGGAGGCTTTAGCACAGGAGGATGGATGGATGGATGGATGGATGGGTGGATGGATGGATGGATGGATAGCTGGATAGATCCAAATACACCTTTTCCTAAGTTGAATTGTATTGTTGTTGTTTAATTAATGTCTTGTTACTGCACAGAATAGTCAGTGAAGTCTTGCTGTTTCCCCTGCAGCCCTCAAAAGCTCTTTGCAAGATCTCTCCAAACCTCAGATAATGCAGAAGGAAGAGCTGATAACTGTGCCATCCACAGACCTCTCTGCCAGGGAGTTCGTGGTTTACCAGCATGGCCTCTCCATCCTACGCCTCCTCACCCCCCAGCTTCAGGTGAGTTTGGTTCTGGTCTCTGTGGAGCAGTCGTCCATGGAGTTTAGAAGAGCAGGGTCACCAGGAAGGAGGCTTGGAGGTAGTGGATATTTCTTAGGCTGAAGCACCAGGAACAGAGAACTTTCTAAGTCTCTCTTCTAAGTGAATCATTTTACCAATTGAAAGCCTGATCTCTCAAATGATAGGATAATGGGGAGAAGAATACAGGCAGAGAGTGGGCTCTCCTTTGATTTGAGAGTTCCCACCACTGCTTCAACGTTCATTGTCTTTATAATGAAGTCTATATTGACTTTATAATGTAGAAAGCAATTTTGTATACATTGTTTTGTTTACACCTAGTAACCTGAATTCTGATTCTATGAGACAGTGGAATATTTTTTTTTTGACAATGGAAGTTTTTAATAGGTGAAATAACTGATACTCAAACCAAATGAATTACATGACACAAAAATGTTCTATTGCATATGCATACGCATGCTCAGTCATGTCCAACTCTTCTGAGACTCCACTGACTATAGCCCACCAGGCTCCTCTGTCCATGGTATTTCCCAGGCAAAAGTACTGGAGTCAGTTGCCATTTCACTGTTATAGTAGTCTGTATGAATTAACTCATTTAATCGTCACAAAACCCAAATGGCATAGATACTAATTTTTTTCTCATTTTAAAGTGGAGGGAAGAAGATACAGAATGGGTGAGGAAACTTTTACAAGAACACACAACCAAAAGGGTTAGAAGGCAGGCATCATGGCCCAAGAGGCTTCATGCCTGACTGCTATTGTACCTCTGTTTAGAAAAGTGGCAAATCAAATCTTGTAGTGAGCATAAACTTCAAACATCAAGTTAACAAATACTCCTTCCACTTTCCTGTAGTCTATACTGAATCCACTTACCTGTTATAATTTAAATTGATACCCCAGTTCATTTACTTCCCATTTATTGGTTGGTGCTATGTAACTGAGCTGCATGAGAATTTTTTAGCAAAGGGATAGGTTTTGTTTTTATTTGCTTTTAATTCTTTTCAGGCTCCAGAAATCACCCTGCAGATTACTTCTCGTCTTCCTGCCATGGAAGCCTCAGACAATGCCTTCCAAGGTTCCTTCTTCTATCAGGTATTTCAAACTCCCAATCCCAGGTGTGAGGTTTGTCAGATTCTAGGTCTAGTAGAGACAGGCGCAAAAAGAGCAAATGTTATAGAACATTTTTCTCTCTAAGTCCTCAGATGTTTTATTCCCTCTAGGTAATAAGTCATCTGGCTAAGGCGTAATAAATGTTCCCATGTAAGAGCTTTCTCTAATTAGTGAAATGACTATGTCCTGGCCTGTGTCCAGAGAATCACAATGGCTTTGTGCCCATTAATGAATCTGTCCTTATCGAAGCCAGTGGTTCCAGACTGGTGTTTCCCGTAAGAGGCATGGTTCCAAGCTCAGGACATCCTGCAGAGTCAGCATCTTTCTATGGAGAAGGATCTAAATTGTTCCTGTCCTGGTAGTTCCTCAAACATGTAGACTGGCAGTGCTGTGGCGGTCCTCTCAGCTGGTGTATATGGACCTTAAACACTATGACAGAAAACAGTGATGTGAGAGGGTGCTGCTAACCATGGTTAGAGGACAGGCAAGTGGCTTATACTTGGCTAGGAGGTTGTTAGGGGATTTAATAAGACCAAAAATTACCCATGTATAATATTCTCCAGGTATTATTTCACTTGATCCTCAAAGCATCTATGAAGTAAGCAATCTTTACTCCTATCTTACTGATGGGGAAGCAAATTCAGGAGTCACGGAGTGTTATGTGCCAGGCACTTGGCCATATGTCTCACATGCAATATCTCATTTATAATTATAGCCACCTAACCCCAAGGGTTGGGGAAGGGTACTCCTGTTGTTTCCATTTTATGCATTAGGAAATTGAGTCCCGGAGAGGCCAAGTTACTTGCCCAAGATCACAATGTGGCAAGAGTCAAAACTCAAGTCCAGATGAATTTTACACCAAACTCATTTTTTAACCATGCATCTGTGCTGACACCCGCAGCTAATTCCAGAAACTGATCTCAGACTGTCTGATTCCAAATTACCTAAGGTTTTTCCATGCCAACCTATCACTCTTAAGAGAATTAACAAGGAGTTATTTCAAATCAATTAGGCAAGACAAGAGATTTGAGAACTTGACTACAAAAAAGGCATGAAAGACAAAGAAAACCTGAGAGGCCCATAAGACTATGCTTCTCAAACTGTGGTCCTTGGGCCCTTATGTATCAACCACCTGGGGAATTTGGTAAAATGGAAATGGCAAGTCCACCTAAAGCCCACAGAACCAGAAATTCTGGGATGGGTTCCCAAAATAGAATCACGCCCAAATGATCCTTATTCACACTAAGTTTGAGAACCACTGAGTAAGGAAACAGTAATTGGAGTTCACGTATTAAAAAAAACAACAACAGAGATACATGAATAGTTTTTCTCTGAATTTCCAAGTTTGTTTTCTTTAAGCTAGGGGTAGCAAAAAAAAAATATGGAAGATGATGGAGAAAATTATTTATTCAGAGAGTTGAGCTGAAACAATTTTCTCTTGCCCTCTGAATCTTCCCTTCAATAAATTTCCATTTAACCCAGAGGGTCTCTAACTTCATGATCCCCAAAGTTGTTTTAGATCAGATAAAACTAGAAAAAGAGAGAGGCCGTGGAAATATTCCCAAAGGTTGACATACCCATGTTTGGGTATTTTCTCCACTCAGAGAGCTGAAAACACACTGTTTGTTAGGAGAGAGTGTTTGGCATCGGTGGGAAGTTTTGTTCTGCTGTTGATCCACTGCCTGGCCCACGTTGCTGCCGATGACCTCCACCAGGACTCCAACCCTGCCTTTCTGAGGTCATTTTATAAGGTATTTATAACATGCAGAGGGCTTTTTGCTTCTCTTACTCTGTGACTCATGCCTATTCCCCAAAATAGTAAATGCTATAAGCTCTGAAACATTTCAGATCTACTTAAGTCCCATTGGTGGCCCTTGGTTTCTACTGCCTGGTTAAGATTTTCCTGACCAAATTTCCCATGGCAGCATATGAAAAATGCATACACCTCTCTAAGAATTCTGGAGAGAAGTGGCCTTCCTCTGAGAACAGCATCACCCTTTCTGTGGATATTTCATTGTCAGTATTTGAACCTCACCAGAATTACAAATGACAATAGTAACCCATGGTGCAGGCAAGTAAAGATGGTCCATCTCAAGCCCCATATTTTTTCAACTGTTATTTTAAACCTTCACTAGCCATTTCCTAGAGGCCAGACTCATCTGCCGCTCTCACTTTTCCTGACCAGGGGCTGCAGGCCTATTTCAGGGAAGCATTCTCTATCACTCTACAAATGTCGACAGTTTCCCAGGACAATAAACTTGGCCAAAACATAAGTGCTCTTCTGCTGGGAGAGCAGCCCGTCTCTGAAAGAGGAAGAGACCTTCTCTCTAAACTCATCATAAGAAAGCATGAGTCCCACTTGGAGCCAGAGTCGTCGGAGGAGGTAACTGACTTTAACCTGTGTAGCCTGTGGTTTTGCTTTTGTTTGTGTTTTTTGTTTACACTTTCTATTTTATATTGGAGCATAGCTGATAAACAATGTTGTGGTAGGTCGGGTGCACACAGAGTGACTTAGCCATACATATACATGAATCCATTCTCCCCCAAGCTCCCTGCCCATCCAGGCTGCCACATAACACTGAGCAAAGTTCCTTGGGTAGCACATGGTTTTAAAATCGACTCCTTCACAGAGTAAATGCCTCTGTGAACGACCTATGCAGGTGTTTCTTGCCTCCCTAGATGGCACATTGCCTTGACATTCAGGCTGCTTCTCAAACCAAATATGACAATATTTTTTAAACCCTATGTTCTACAGGGCAGGCAGTGGGGACCTGGCTCATGGGGATTGCAAATATGGCTCCACAGTTCATTCATGACCCATTAGCACATTATCAATAAATAAGCAGAATTCCATCTATAAAACTTACTGTGACTTAGAGACTACATTTAGATGCCCAAGTGGTAGCTTGTTTACCCAAATTTATTGTATGCTCTTTTCTGCTCAAGTTTGACAGTGGCATTCTTAATACTTATTAAGTACTTTTATAACAATATTATCTCAGCTTTTTAACTATTAAAATATAAAATTTAAATCTGTCATCTTAAAAAGACTATTTTCTATTCTTCCATTAAAGGTCAATTCATTGTTGAGTTATAAATAAGAGCATATCTTTTTTTTCATTATGTATATAAAACTTCATACATTTTCAAGGCATATATATGTGTGTATACACACACACACACACACACACATATAGTCTCATTCAAGCCACCCAGCAATCTTGGTAGCATACATATTTTTAGTCACATTTGTATTTAAAGGTAGATTAAGCAGTTTGCTCCAAACCATACAGCTATTTGTAGTGGTAGAATTGAGACTAGGTTCTTGATCACCTGACTGCTGAGGAAATAGTCCATATACATCTCCCTGTAATTAAATCTCCATTAGTTACTGATTTATCTTGTGGCTGTTGCTGGTGATGGTGATGTTGGTCATCCAGATTACAAAATTGTTACAGTCTAGCACAAATCTCGGAAAACAGCCAACACTCTGTCCTCACCTAATAGCAGCATTTGACACACCTGATCACTTTCTCCAATTCGACCCACCTTCTTTACTTGACTCCCAGGACACTGGCCTCCTCTAGTTTTCCTCCTACCTCTCTGACTGTTCCTTCTCAGTCTCATTTGCTGATCCTTCCTCTGCTCCCTGGCCTCTTAATGTTCAAGGGACAGGATTCAGTCCTGTCCCCTTCTATATTCACTCCCCTTGGGGATCTCGTCCAGTCTTCTAGCTTTAAATCTCATCTATATGTCAACAACTCTTAAATTTTTTCTTCACCCTCAACCCAACTCTATCTCAACTCATATATCCAACTGCTTACTCACCATCTGGGCTTCCCTGGTGGCTCAGTCAGTAAAGAATTTGCCTGCAATGCAGGAGACCCAGGTTCGATCCCTGGGTCAGAAAGATCTCCCGAAGAAGGAAGTGGTAAATCACTCCAGTAGTCTTGCCTGGAGAATTCCATGGAGAGAGAAGCCTGGCCAGCTACAGAGGGTTACAAAGGATCAGACATGACTGAGTGACTAACACACACACTCACCATCTCCAGGGGAATGTCTTACAAGTAGCTCAGACTCAATGTGCCCAAAGCCAATCTTCTTGCCAAACCTGCTCCACTTAAAACATTCCCCATCTCCACTGATGGCAACTGTGTTCTTCTGATTTTTCAAGCCAAAGTCTTCTCTTCAGGCCAAATCTCTCTCTGTTTCATATACCCCACAACCAATCCATCAGGAAATTCTTCAGAAACTCATCCTTCACAAACTGTATCTTCAAGTATATCCATGATTGATCACTTCTCATCACTTGCGCCGCTACCAACCTGATGCAAGGCATCTCTTGCTTAAACTACCATCAGACCTACTAACTCATCTCTGAGCCCAAGCTTGTCTCTCTACAGTCTAGTCTGAGCACCGTAGTCAGAGTCATCCTTTGAAAGTAAAAGTTGGGACTGCTCAAAGTCCTGCTGTGTTCCTCAGTTCACTTGGGTAAAAACCTAAGAAGTCATGTCCCCTTTGTGTCTCACACTGTCACCTACTGTTCCCCTCATTCACTCACCTCCGACCACAGTGTCCTCCTTGCTGTTCTTCAGACACTCCAGGGACACTGATCTTAAGGCTTCCACCTGCAATGCTCATTCCTCTAAGGCAGTAGCTCCCAACAGAAGCAATTTTATTCCTGACAGGACATTTGGCAACCTCCGAAGACACTTTTGATTGTCTGACTCAGAGGAGGTGGTGCTACTGACTGTTAACCAGTGGGTAGAGGCCACGGATGCTCCTAAACAGCCTACAGTGGATGGGACCACCCCACAACAGAAAATCATCCATCCCCAAATGTCAGTAGCACTGAGTTTAAGAAACCCTGGTCTATGCCGGACTCCCTTGTCTTCTTCATGTCTCTGTTCAAGTGTCACCTCAAGGACTATCCTGACAAGCCTTACCCTGCCACCCTCTTTACCTTGCTCATCAGCTTCTCTTTGCTCCACTTTTCTTTATCCTGTATCACGTCCTAACATATTACAGAACTTACTTTTGCCTGCCTGTGTGCTCAGTCGCTCAGCCATGGCCAACTCTTTGCAACCCCACGAACTGCAGTCCGCCAGGCTCCTCTGTCCATGGGATTCTCCAGGCAAGAATACTAGAGTAGGTTGCCATTTCCTCCTCCAGGGTATCTTCCCGACCCAGGGACTGAACCTGTGTCTCCTTTGTCTTCTACATTGGCAGGCATATTCTTTACCACTGCACCACCTGGGGAGCCCCTCAGGATTTACTTACATTTGCTTATTCCATTTTCCCTGCTAGAATATAAACTCTATGAGGGCAGAGTTGTTTGCTTTGTTTTTTCTGATATAATCCATATTCCAGCCTCAGAGCAGGCTTTTAATATGTTTACTGTGCTAATGAATAGATTTATGTCGACACTGATGCTATGTAATAAAACTTTTCAATCTAGGAGGCAGATACTAGCAAACATTACAGACTTGCCATGTGTCAGGTGTTCTATTGAGAGCTTTACATACATTATCTCATTTAAACTTCCCCATGCCTTTTTAGAGTAGATGTTACTTTTATTCTTAACTTACAGATGAGAAATCTGAAGCTTAGAAGTATTAAAAGCCTCTTTTCCAAGACAGAGATAGTTGCAGAGCTTGTATTAATTAGTACTCTGCCAACCACCATTTATGAAGAGATCTCATTTTATTTTAAGAAAGCAGAACTGTATATAGTACTCTGAGGTACTGGCAAAGAAGATTCAAGAGTACTCAGAATAAATGAGAGCAAAAATCTTAAGTTTATTATAATTTATCTTTCATACTCTCTACAGTATATTAAGAAAAACAAAGATCTTCTCCTTTTTACCAACATGGAACACTTCCTAAAAAGCATCCTTGCTTCAGAGCAAAAACTCCCAAAAGAAACAAGAGATCAGCTTGGGGATGAAGATAAGGTGAGATGTTCGGATGAGCTACAGCATTGAGACCATACTTTTCTATATACTTTGCAACTTTTTGGTGTGTGTTTGGGACCATGTTTATCATTGAACATGTCAGCAGAACACAAGATTGGAAATCAATGGTGATGTAAACAGGTAATATCATAAGTCACTTATTTTAAAACTTTATCAACAGATGGTGGATCTTAGATTCCAGAGTTAATCCCTCTGCTTTCAGGCAGGTCAGGTCTTAAAGAGCAGGAACTGAGACTTGGACTTGCCCTAGTTCACCCAGCTGGAAGAGAACAAGTAGTCACCAGATCTATTGCCTTCTCATTCACGATTTCTCCCACTGTTCCATAATGATACCTACTACCGTTTTGTTTTTAATTGGAAGCATTTAAAACATTGCTATATCTTTTTTTTCATTTATTTTTATTAGTTGGAGGCTAATTACTTTACAATATTGTAGTGGTTTTTGCCATACATTGACATGAATCAGCCATGGATTTACATGTGTTCCCCATCCCGATCCCCCCTCCCACCTCCCTCCCCATCCCATCCCTCTGAGTCTACCAAGTGCACCAGCCCCGAACACTTGTCTCGTGTATCCAACCTGGGCTGGAGATCTGTTTCACCCTTGATAGTATACTTGTTTCAATGCTGTTCTCTCAGAACATCCCATCCTCACCTTCTCCAACATTGTTATATCTTTAAAAACCACCAAATAGCTTGGTTCCAAAGGACAAACATTAATATTTGTCACATATAATTAGCAAAGAGAAAACCCCAAGCATTATTATACTCATTATTCTCATGCAGAACAGTGACCTAAACATGTTGAGATCAAGATCAGAAACAACCCAGAGACATGGCTGAGCACCAACTCTAGCCCTGGGCCCCAGTCTATTTCAAAGTTATCACCAGTATCTGGGGTGAAAACTACATTTTTATTACATTATTTTATTGCGTTGTTACAATATCATATAACTATACAAGTGTACATATTATTAATGGACATCTCATGAAACCATCCAAATAAGCATTGCCATGTAAGTGTCCAGACCAAGAAATAGATCTTTACCAGCTCCCAGCAGCACCCACATCTCCCCTCCCAGTCACCCATCCCCTGAGAGTGGCCACCATCCTGACTCCAAACGTCATAAATTGTTTTTGCTTATTCATGAATTTTACATCAATAGAATCATGAAATATGAATTCTTTGTTCTTCAAGTTTGTGAGATTTACCCATATTGTTGCAGGTAGTTGTAGTTTGTTGATTCTCTTTGTTGTAAAGTATTCTGTGGTACAGATATATCTTAATTTATTCACCATATACTGATCTACAGGTGGGTATTTTCCAGGTTGGGATTATATAAATAGTTCTGTGCACCTTTTGATGACTATACCTAGTCAGGTATTAACTTAGGACAAGTGCTGGGTCTGAAGATATGGATATGCTCAACGTTAATACATACTATCAACCAGCATTCCGAAGTGATCACAAGCGGCCACCAGCCATGGATCAAAGTTCCAACTGCTTTCCATCCTTATCAGAACTAGCATTTTCCATCTTTTTTACTTTATCCATTCTCCTGGATGTGTGTTTTTAATTTGCATTTTCCTAGTGGCCACAGTGGAATTGAGCATCTTTCATGTATTTATGCAGCATTTGAAAGTCCTCTCTCTAGAGAAGCCTGTTCAAGTCTTTTGCTGATTTGTCATTGGATCACCTCTTTTTAATTGATTTGCAGGAACTTTTTATTCTGCAACTATTTTTCCTCATTCTGTAGATTGCCTTTTTATAGAAATAACTACATGTTTCTTTTACTGTTTTATTTTTATATTTAGAAAAATAAATAAAAATAAAAGTCTGCATTTTTAAAAGTTGTTAAATATGTCAGTATGCCATCCAATGAAGCTGATAAGAGAACATGAATGTAAAAATCACATAAATATATATTATAATTTGGGGTAGATATATAACATAATGGGCTAGTTTTCAACACAGAAGAAAAACATGCTGATATTTTCACTGTGACTAAAAGATTAGATCATGTATATTATTATTATATTCATTTAAAGATATAGGCTAAACCTCTTTATAAAATGTAAAATTTGTATATGTCATCAATTTTCAGACTGACTAACTTACTTAAAATTGTTTGTTACCAAGTCACACAAAAGGAGATATATTTGGTGATATGTAATGCTGCTGCTGCATCACTTCAGTCGTGTCCAACTCTGTGCGACTCCATAGATGGCAGCCCACCAGCCTCCGCTATCCCTGGGACTCTCCAGGCAAGAACCCTTGAGTGGGTTGCCATTTCCTTCTCCAATGCATGAAAATGAAAAGTGAAAGTAAAGTCGCTCAGTCGCGTCCGACTCTTAGCGACCTCATGGACTGCAGCCTACCAGGCTCCTCCGTCCATGGGATTTTCCAGGCAAGAGTACTGGAGTGGGTTGCCATTTCCTTCTCCGATACGTAATGAGGATACATAAAATATAGCCTTTGTGGCATGTGTAAAATTCACTTTGGAGGCCCTGACTGGAAAATTTCAAAGAGATAAGCAGTTATCTAAAACTGAAGCTTCAGGGTAGATTTGAATACTAATTAGGAGATATACAAACAGGACATGAATTCAATGGAAGCCAAAAAAATTTTACTACAGACTCCAAACCTCAGATTACAAATCCAATGTCTGCAATTCAAACTGTTTCTCACATGGATAAATTTCTCATTGTATTTCAAGATGAGTAGCAAAAGGGACTTTTTAAAATATATAAACTGTTATTGAGTCTCTGAAGCAATGTAAGGAAGGCAGACAAGTACAGAATTAAAAGTCTAATTTAAACAAACATTATATGGGTGGATTATTTAATTCAGTGACTATCTTATAGTCAGTATTTTTAGTCCTGCAGGTCTTTGTCCTAATTACAACATGTTCAGATATGGCTAAGGATTTAGCTCTAAATCTAACCAATCAAAATACTAATAGTAAATTACTTTAGAGAAAAATCAAATCACAGACAACATGACAAGAAAATTTATAATTAAGTTCTAAATCAAGCCATAAGGAACATCTGCTCAGAATCAGCTCACTGTATGTAGCTTCTCCATTTCTTCCACCTTACACTATCATTGAGTTCTCATTATTTGTTGCTAGAGACTGGTCACTTAATCTTCCTAAATGATTCAGGTTAAATCATTAGGTTAACCATCAGGCAAAGTAACTACAAAATTTGTCAGCCTTTAAAATTTCAATTGAAATTCTGTGCTGCCTTCATAGAACAGATACTGATAAAATGATAGTCACCCTTAATAATGGACTATGTGGCAGTTTTCTTGTCTCTTTCATGAACTGGGAATTCTTATGTAAAGCATACTCCCCAAATCATTGCATAATAACTTTATAAGATTAAAGAGTTCCCCAGTACTTTGAGAAGATAAATCTTATTTTGATATGATAAATATTCAGTATGTGTCAAGAACTTCATCTACTCACATAAACTATGAAATGTATTTCCAGAAAACATAGAAAACATTAATTAAGTCAGACATATAAGACTATTTTGAATAGTTAGACTAAAAGTCCAAGTCTTCAGAGAGCTAGCAAAGAAAAAGTCATCAAGAAATTGAAGATCATTTTTCTATATTCCTCATTCTTTGCTGAACAAAGCACCTACTAAAACATGATTCTATTAGCTTCCTGGCTGACTTCTTGGGTCCTCCATTTGATTCTATTAGTATACTAAGAGCTGGGGATTTTGCTAAGCACATGCTTTTTAATGGAAATGCCACAGATTATAAGGCAGGGATCATGTTCTCCTTCCTGCTGCATTATGTGTGTTTATTGCTGAATCAAATCAATAGTACATTTTTGAAGTTTTGAGACTCTAATTATCTTTAAGGAATTAGTTTGTGTGCACACACATACACACACGTGCACAGCCCACTGATCAGAAAGAGAATAAGAAAGCCTCAGTAGATATAGAAGCCATATTTTACCAACTACCAACAAAAAGAATAGTTTCCCCAAAAATACAATGCTTAAAATAACTCTTTTTAAAACAATTTTTATTTCAAAAGTGGTACACAGACTTCTGTTTCCAGAAGGATGGAACAGATAAACTTTTCCCTACTCCTCCCACCAAGAACAACTAAAGCCTCTGGACATTATTTATGAAAACAAACAAGAGGATTCTGAAATGTGTAGAGAAGAAAATAGACCAGCTAGGGACTTCATAACTCAAGGTAGGATATGGTGGTGAACTCCTCAGATTCCCTTTTCCCTTAATATTCCAGACTTGTAAATAAAGAAGTCAGCAACCCATAAATACCAATGAGCACAGACCAAAAAGCCCCCCAAAAGTCTGCTCTCTCCAGCCAAAGGACTATTAAAGGAGCAGCTTAGCAAGACAGAAAATTTTGAGACAGTAACGACTTTACTCCAGTTAAATATCAGAATAAAACTGACTCCACCCATGCCAGCAAAAGTTGAGTGGGGAGTCCAGACTTCCATTCTTGCTAGGCTGTAATGAAGTACCCCATTCTCCTTCTGGGATAGTGCCAGAGAAGACAAAGCAGATAACTAGGAGGTTTCTTCATCCCCTCAAGGCAGTAATAAGCCCATTTATACCCTATGTTATCAGTGGTGACCACATGGGGAATCTACATCTACCAACATATGGTAGGACCTCCCTGCTGGAGTAGCATTGGTGGAGGCCAACTGGAGGACTGGAGACTCAGGACTTTTACCATTGCACATTGGTAATGGGCTCACCCTCATTAAAGTATTAATGGATACCACGGGAGGAGCTGGAATTCCCATACCTACTTAGCAGGTATGAGAAACCCCTTCCCTGCATATCAGTGGAGACCAAATGGGGAACCTAGACCTCTATCTTTAATCAGGCAGTAACAAGGCATCATCCTCTACCCATCCCCCACAGTGGGTGGAATGGTGTCAAAGGAAATCGGGTAAAACCAAGTTTAAATAAGCTCTCAAACCTTATAATATCAAAAATGTACAGTTTTCAGTCAG